CCACACACACACCCTCTGAGAACATCCCGCCCACCAGCAGGGAGGGCTCGGCCCGCTCACCTTGGTGGTCATGACCAGCTCGTGATACACGATGTAGTCTGGAGTGTAGCCCATGCCAAAGAGAGAGCTGGTGGGGTGCAGGTGGCAGGGCATGCCGGTGCGGATGTTCACATACTCCCCGATGCCCTGTGGAAAGAGCCGGGTTAGCACAGCCCCGGCCTGCACCCTGCCCCGCCCGCGGCCTGCACCCTGCACGCCCGCCCTTCACCTTCAGCTTGGCAGCCTGGTGGAAGTAGGCGGCACAAATGCACTTCCTGACGATGTCCCAGTCTGAGCCGCAGGACGCCAGGCTCATGCGCTGCTGCACCATGATGTCCTTCAACTGGGCACGCACCTCCCGCACCTGCAACAGCACATGCCTGTCAGAGGCCGGCCCCACTTCGGAGGCCTGACCCATTTCAGAGGCTCCACCCTCTGCCCCCTCCAGGCCCTGCCTCCCAGCACGGCCCCACCTTCCTCATGGCCTTGGCGTGGATGAAGTGCTGGTTACACCACAGCATGGAGTAGCTGTTGTTTTTCCACTGCAGGTAAACGTTCAGGTAGGTCAGGTGATCACTCTCCGGCACAGCAAACTTCTCCCGCACCTGGTCACTCTCTTCCTCCCGGCCCTAGGTGGGAGCAGGGGGCGCAGGGTTAAGGCTGGAGGGGAGGGATTGCCCCCCCCAGCCCGCACCCGAGGAGAGGACGGGCAGCAGCACGCACCTTGGGCCGGTAGAAGATGGCGGGCACAGAGAGCATGGAGACGATGAGCAGGATCTCGGAGCTGCAGCCCATGTCACAGGAGACAATGAGCATCTTGGAGAGCGCCGGATCCAGCGGGAACTCCACCATCAGGCGCCCTGTTGAGGTCAGGCCACCTGCCAGAGCAACACAGGAGCCGGTAGCAAGGCAAGCTCCCAGCGCCCCCTACTCCCCCCCCGCCCCCCGAGCCCCCTCCCTGAATCCCCCAGCACTCCCCTCCCTCCTTACCCGTGTTGTCCATGGCTCCCAAGATCCACAGCTGGTACATGGAGTTCAGCATGTTGTCCTCGGGGGGCGGGTCCATGAAGTGGAACTGCAGCAGGTCCTGCACGCCCAGAGACTTGAGCAGCAGCACCACGTTGGCCAGGTTGGTGCGCTGGATCTCAGGCACCGTGGTGGTCAGCAGCTCATTCTTGTAGGCGCTCTGGGTGTAGAGCCTGGGGAACCGATGCCGTGAGCGCCAGCCCCTCAGATAGCACCACTTCCCCAGAGCTCAGAGCCTCCTGCCCAGCCACAGCGAGCGGGGAGCTCTCTAGAGCAGGGATCCTGGGCGCAAGCTCCAGCTTGCCCTGCTTTGGGGCAGGGAGCGGACCCTGCACACACCCCCAGCAACAGTGCAGGAGAGGCTGGGTGCACAAGGAGACGCCATCGCTGCAGCCGAGGGGGCCGAGGCAGCTGGCTCTGCACCTGCTGCTCCCTGTGGTGCAGTCGGGACATCCCTGACATGGGAGCACCCCCTCCAAGCTGGGGCACTTTGGGGTGTGCACACAGTTCAGACTCGCCTGAGCTCCAGGACCCTTCCCACGGAGCAGCTAGAGTCAAGCCAACTGAGGGGAAGCAGCTGCTGTGTCCACAGCTCAGCACCCAAGGGGTTAATGCTGCAGCGAGGCGCCTACCTGAAGCACTGACCTGGGCCCGTCCGGCCAGCGCGACCCGACCTCTGGTTGGCGTTGGCTTGGCTGATGGGGTAGATCTGCAGGGCGTCCATCCCTATGCGGGGGTTGAAGACCTGGCGGGGCAGGCAAGGAGCAGTCAGACAGGGTGGGGGGTGCCGGGCAGGGCCCAAAAGGCGGCTACGCAGCAGCTCCAGGGAGCAGGGATCCGCCACCGGCCCTCGCCTCACCTTCAGCTTGCAGTAGCCGGAGTCAATGACAAACATGATGCCGTCCACAGTCAGCGAGGTCTCCGCAATGTTGGTGGCGACAATGCATTTCCTGACACCATCCGGAGCCTGCAACACACCAGGTGTCAGCGCCCTGAGGGGCTAGCAGCCCCCCGCTCCCGACGGACAGTGCCCCCCAGGGATGCAGACAAGGAGTGCCAGGATCAGCGCCCCCCGGGGAGCGATGGGTCCCTGGCTTTTACCTTCTGCACAGTCAGACATCAGGTGCCCCCACAGCAGGCCCTGCCCTGGCCAGTCCCACGCCCAGCAGCCGCTGCTCCCCTCCCCCAGGAGACCCTGCCACGTGCTACCTTCTGGAAGATCTTGGCCTGCAGGTCAGAGGGCAGCTGAGAGTAGATGGGCAGCACAGCCAGAGCTGGGGCCTTTTCCAGTTCCTCCAGATGCTCCACGATCTGCTCCGAGGCCACCTGGGGACAGAGAGGGGAGTGAAAGCAAGAAAAGGCACAAGGGCCCGGGGGGGCGGGGAGGAGGGCCCTAGCGCCGCCAGGTCCCGGGGAGGGATGGGGGGGGGCCTAGCGTTACAGGCACACTGAGGTCACCTCGATGTCCTCCTGGCCCGGCATGAAGATAAGAATGTCTCCAGGGGCCCCAGACAGATGCACCTGCAGGGCCTGCTTCACCGCAGCCTCCACGTAGTCCTCCTGCGGGGTCTGAAAGGCAGAGAGCAGTTCGAGGGGGCCTGGCTCCCCACAGCCCAACTCCCCCCCATGCACAGGACCCATCACACAGCACATGCACCTCCACCCCTGCGCGGCCAGCCCTGCCCAGACCCCTCTCCCCCCACGCCCGCCCTGGGCACCTTGCTGAACAGGACATCCACAGGGAAGGTGCGGCCAGGAATGTGGAAGATGGGAACGTTCCCAAAGAAGGAGGCAAACTTCTCTGCGTCCATGGTGGCCGAGGTGACGATGAGCTTCAGGTCTGCGCGCCGCGCCACCACCTGGAGAGACAGATTGCAAGGGCAGCAGGGGGCAGGGCCCAGGCCACTCCTCCCCCCCACACACTGCGAGGGCA